GGGGGGGGGGGGATTTCGTTCTCTTGTCTAGATCAAAATTTCGGCCATAGATGGAATCACCCGGCAGCAAAATGTACACATTTAATAGGCAAGGAGTCTATAGCCTCACCACGAACTTCTATACCCAAGATAATTTATGGATTTCCTCTCATGTATAACATGTAATATTTCACGTCCGGCCGACTATAAGGACTGGACTAGATTTCATGTCCGATCCGCGCAATTGGATCAAAATGCGAGGACTTCAAATCCAGTCCGAATTGAGGTGAATTAATTTTGACCAGTCCTAGAACTGTATCACTATACTTCATCAGGTATCCAGTATTTTTAATATAAAGTTGAGATTGAGTTTTATAGAACAAAATTACGCACCGTGATAAATTCTCCATGCAGCCAGTTATCATCATTAATCAATTCCCGCACAGGTTTATAATTCACGCCGTCTAGAGTCACGGAGGCATGACGTACGTCAGGGTATTGAGTTGACGAATGATTTCCCCATATTGTCACATTGCGGACATTTTGAGCACTAGTTTTAAGACGCATTGCAATCTAAATAATAATGGATTAGACAACAATATGTAAGTGACACGCTTTCTATCTATAATGGAAAAGAGTTGACCGACCCCCATTCAGGGGCGGATCTATCGTGGGGGTACAGGGGGGTGCGCACCCCACCTAGTGGTATCTAGCAAACCCCCACCCCCCAGAGACGTCTAGCACCACCCTAAAAAATCCGCTTGACCATATATTTTCTGCTTTTCGAATAGCGATTGGCGGAACGATTCAATTTGTGAGCTCACGAGAAAATACGCAGAATGCTTTAGTTAATTAATAAATATCATAGTTAAATATATGTAAACATGCAGAGGTTGTTATACAGCCATATTTTCAATTAATATACTGTACTTTAACAAGGAAATTTACTGTACTGTGCTATATAAACTTTATAATTAATATTAAAAAAAAACATGGAAACCACCCATAGGTGGGGACATGGTAAAAATGCAACACCCTTACCTGAGCACAAGCACGGTTTTGATCAAGCCGTGTAAGGCATGAAAAGTTATTCGCTGGAATGCTCGGTGCAAAGTGTTTTAAAATACAACAGTTCGTATTAGCTGGGTTACCTACAACCAATATCTAGGAATAGAAAATAACGATGTTTATTAGCTAAATATTATATTTACATATTTCCTTTGGCTGTAAAATGCCACACTATAGTTCGGCGAAAAAAAGCATGTTCCCCTAACTCAACACATGCCTTAAATTCAAACAGTGGCAGACATGAGGGGGGGGGGCAATGTACCCCTCCCCCCTCCAACAATTTCTCAAAACATTTTATTGAATTAGCTGAATAACAGTGACAGTGACACAAAGCTGTGACAATTATTTTTTGAGCATGAGAAAGCTATAGATTAAGCTATATATTGCATGAAAGTTTTAAGGCCGCAACCTAAATTCACACCCCCACCCCACCCCAATATTTTGCAAAGTGTCTGCCACTGAATTCAAAACAGGTACCCTAATGTATGGATCGAATTTTAGTAACCTTGACAGACTTTTTAGCATACTGATCAAGAGATTTTCCTTGAGATTCAAAAATCTTGGCATTTGCTTGCAACAAATCCTTTCTTTCCATGCCCTGTTTTCGTGGAAATGCTCCGACCAAAATCGCGACATCAATGTTGGTGAATGCCTCCTTTCCATCGGCTGTAGGAATGGCTTCTAAATAACAAAATTCAGATTGCAGGCTAGTCCCATGAACAACAGTATCTGGACTAGTGGGAAAGCCTGTTTCTGATATTTAGTCTGAAAGTACAAACCTTTCAAAAGAGGAAAAGCACAATCTTGTAGTTCCATACAAACTCCTCCCAAAGCGCCAAGCATTGGTTGAATATCCAGAAGTGTCAAAATCAATGGCTAAAACATCGGTTGTAGTTTCTGTTAGTAAATTTGTATCTTTTTCACCAATTATTTCATGTTTAAGCAGTCGGGTTGACCAGTCGGTTTGCTGGACCATCAGTCGGCTGGTTGGTCAACTGGTTAATCAATCAGTCACTTGTTTTACAGTTTTATAAACCATTGTATTTATATAAATATAGTACTTAAAATATGCCAAAAAGTATGGCCTTCAAACCAAAATTTAATCCACTGTATTGAGCTGGTAGTCTGAGGTAAATCCTGTGCACACCTCACACGTCTTGACTCATTAAATTAAGATGCATATTTTCATTTGCCATGCAACCCTTGTTTGTTTTGAAAGTAAAAATGACACATCTTGTGTTTACCAACAAAGCAATTTTTTGCGTGAACAGATATTCTCAGTGATAATTATTAATATAATTAATCCCATGACAAAAATGTATATATTAGATGTATGATTTCATTATTTCCTCAATAGTGACTTGTTTCAAGATGTCGTTCAGATGTCATGCATGATCACCTTTTAGAGTCAACTGCAAGTGGTCTAATATAGAAAACAATTGTTTCATTCTACATATTATTAATTTTTTCCTCAGTTTTGTCAGTGGGCTGATGAAGGCCGGCCTTTGCTCGAAATTTCAATCCTTGTATTTTTCAGGTAGTTGCATCAATCAATCCGAAGCTTTTGTATTAATATTGGCACTACCTACATTGGCACAGACAGTTGCTAATATGACCATAACTCTGTTGCTTACATGACCTTTTATACCATATATCAAGCATGTGGACTATGCGACAGTGCAGACTTTTCCGGGTGACCAGCACCCCAAATGAGATTTCTATTTTTGTCAATTTTTTAAGATTTCATAATCAAGCATATTGCTTTAGTTCCTAAGACTACCTGATCATTTCCAAAAACATCACCCTTGGCAACAGAGTACAAAAGAGAATACGCTATCTGTCCAGCAGCACCAGTGATGCACACCTTGATTGGATCTTTTGGCTGCAGAAGAAAGATTAAATGCAATTGTGGCATAAAGTGAGCAATTTGAGCTATCATTATGCAGGGGGGGGGTTGCCAAATTCCTTATCAAATTCATTGTTTGGATTAATGGAAAGGCAATTACAAAAACGGACAACATGAGAGAGTTCATGACTATGAAATCGTTAAGCAAGATTACAGATTAGTGCCCTGATGCTATACATAGCTCCCTTTAAGTGATCAATATGCTCTTACCAGATTTAATTTTATCCCACATGCATGGAAAATGTTCTATGCACATAGTTCAGGCCACACCCTATTTTTCATGATTCAGGCATGCAAATATCATTACTTGAGAGCATGTGCAAAATGTTAAGCAAACACTTCAATGATTTAGCTGTAACACAAAAATAAGGCAGCATCACCTTTACTTGTTCCCTTTTGTAAATAGTTATTGTTTTCATGAGAATGCACGCTTTCTTTTCTGTTTCATTTGCTTACCAGAAGTGGTTTGTAGATGTTTGGAACAAACTTTTTGGCACACATTTTTGTTGCCCAACAATTTTCTTTGAAAAGAATGAAGACGGGGGGGAGGGGTGGGGGGTGTTCTCATCAAGGTTTGATCAGGATAGCGATAGCTGGATTGTGGCACTGAGATTGGAGTTTGCAAAAAACCAAAGGGTACAAAGTGTACCCTTCACTCAAAGTGGACCTCAGTTCAATTACTTCAATTCTCAGGACTTGGAGTTTATTAATAGTTTATATATTAAACGGATAATTTTATTTAGAACTATAAAGCCCATGCCTCAAACAATTTTATTTCTACCAAATTGCAAAAGGTTTATGTACGATTCATCATTCATATAAATGAAATAAGTCAGATCGAGAAAACATTGCTAAGAGACAATAGATATTTGGCATTAATCAATGCCACAATTTTAAATTGCAATCAGAAGGCACAAAGGTGGCCAAAAGATCATAAATTTCAAAGGGCTGAAGGGCAAAGTATCAGAAAAGGCACATTCGAACATGTACTGTACAAATGTATTAACCCTGAATTGTAAAAATATTATAAAAAATCAATGTAGTACGTACCATTTTGTCTTTGTTAAAAGCGTAATCCTGCAGCAATGACAAACGAAACAGAACTGACCTTGCAACTGAAGTTATGTAAGTTCGCACTCTTTTCAAGCTTCCAGTCGTGCACTTTGCCACAACTTTGCCACGAATTTCCTGTTTTGGGTTTTGGAGTCCGTGATGAGTGAACTTTACTATCTTGGCCAGTGGTAGAGAGGAACTTGAACAGTTGATACTTGATATTATTACTTCGTACATGGAACTGGGGGTGAAATCATTATTATGGTGAAATAATTCGAGCCTCTTCCCATCATACCTTCCAACTTTTGCGACAAGATGAAAGGTACATACAATAAACCTTAAGTGACAATAACCATTCCTCCAACGCCCCTGGGTGATGCCCAAAGACAGGCTATGTTAGTCCAGTTACTTATAGAGCTCATTGTCAATTTTAAAAAACTTCGGATCCCGGAGGAAAAATTAGGATTTTAAAATTTTATCAACTATTACCGCTTTTACTTACAGACAACCCTTTTTACCGCAACTTTGACCCGCATCTGCCCAAAACAACGAGCCTGATTTTAAGGCATGACGAATAAATTCGTCATTGTCTTTGCCGAGTCAGGTTTGCGAAAGAAGGTAGTACAAACAAAGACAATTTTAAAACATATTTCTTGCTTTAAATGAATAAAAAAAATACAACATTACTTCAAGACAATTAAAGAAAGATTATTAGCATTGTTTTAACGTCTATTTCCTTTTATTCCGTTTCAGTTTTAGCGAAATTTCGCCTCGGACAACACGTGTGGAAACGCAAGCGTTTATTACATCAGAAATTCTCGACCACTCCAGAAGTTTTTTATGACGTTTTTGTGCTCTAAAGGTGAGATAGGTTTTCAGTTTTGAAAAAATAAAACGTACATTTGTTATTTTAAGATTAAATGTTGATTATTTTGCAGTTTTTTGGGGGGGAAAATATGGCAAAAATTTTTATAGTTTATTGTTGCGCCATCTTGTGTAAACTTGTTATTTAAATATATACAGTAGTAACTTGCTGACAATATTAACAGAGAAATAGTTTATTTAACAGTATAGGGGATATAAGTATTGTTAATTTAGAGCAAGGGTAATTGTGGTAATGGGTAATTTGGTGCAGACTGCAGAAAACCTTGTTGAAATCAGAACCTATAAATAATTTGTGGACTGAGAGGCCATAGTTGATGTGTGACCCAATATATGAATTATGAAGAACACATATTTTCATAAAAATTTAAAACATATACTGATTGTCCAACAGCCATTTCACTCCAAAAATCCTGTACACTTTGCCAAAAAATGTATTCCCTAAAACTCTGCTAGAATTTGGAAAATCCACCCAAATTAAAAATCTGTTTAAAATTTAAAATAAAATCCTGGAGAAATCCAAAAATATCCGGAAAAATCCAACAAATTTTCTTTTAAAAAATCCACAGATTTTTGAAAGTCCGAAACTCTCGTACACTTTTAGTGAAATGCCCCTGCTATCAGTCTAAACCAGTGAACTTTAGGTATCTTACCTAAAAAAAAATACCTGTGGTTCCGGTTGCTGGCCGACTCTATTTTTTCTGCTGACCCTATTATTTTTTCAACACGATTGACTGTGCGACCCTACTTTCTCCGGGTGGTTGCAGGCTGCTCATACAGTGTGTCAAAATGGTGTCTGTTGTCACAATACTTATTGATCCAAATTGCCTAAATTCTTCCATAGGGAATATGCATCTCTAGTTAATATTGATGTCGGGACTCTACTGAAGATCGCCCAGCAAAAAAATGGCAAAACCATGAAAAAAAATTTAAAAAAAAATATATTTCCAACCTACGGTACCGACCCTAGTTTTTTCACGATAAGAAACCGGAACCACAGTTATTTTTTAGGCCTAAACTGGAACAATAACTCCAGTGATCAAGTAGTAGATTGGTAGTTCCTCCGGATAGTTCTAAGTATTTTACATCCACTAACAGCAAAAACTTCCTGGGTAACAGTTTCCTATTCAAAATATTACACAAGTTTGAACGTGCCAAACTTTGACTCCTGAGAAAAGAACTTTATTAATAGCTTTTTTCCTTGTTGAAATACAGCTATTTTAGTGCTCGAAAACAGATGTCTTTTAAGGCAGCATATTTCCACTCCATATGTGAAGTACATGGTGGCCAAGTTATCGTTCCAGTCCTTTTAAGGCCCATCTACACGACACAACTCGTTATATACGATTCTTATCCTGGCGTATTAAAACGATTGCTCACGCTACTATTCCTGTTCACCAGTTTATGGCGAAGTTTGAAATGTGACATTTTTACACACATTTATAAGAATCGTATATGACTAGTCGTATTGTGTAGATAGGCCTTTAGAGTTCACTGGTCCAAACACATGTCTTTGTGTTCAGGTAAAGGGATCGTCATTCCACGAAGAAGGAATATATATTTACGAGGCGTCCGTCAGGCGAACTGTAAATTGCAGCGGCGTGCTAACAGAAGTTGTATGAAAAAGTTCAAGAAAAAGTGTGGTTTTCAAATATTTGATGACAAACTGTGTTCGGCCACTCGAAGTACATATTCTATAGCAAATTCATCATGGCAATGGTCAACGTTAACCGCAAGAACACGGATCAATTCTACAGATATAAAATGCCAAAACTCTTAGCCAAGGTGGGTAGATTCACTCATTTAATGCTGCCCTCAATTAAGTGCTGCCCCCAATTAAGTACTGCATATGGTAGCAAAATAGGCAATGGGTCATTCCAGAAAAGATCCATACCCCCTACGGAGGAAATCGAAAATAACCCCCTCCCCCCTTCGGACATCCTTGAATGGTTCATCCTCCCCCCCTCTCCGGACATCAAAGCCCAAAATTACCCCCCTCCCCTTCGGACATCCACTATTTCTAAATTTTTCTAAAGGCTACCTCGCCATTTGAAAACGTCACCGAAAATTAGACTGCGTTCACACTACGCGCGAGCGAACTAATGCGGGCAGAATTTACGTGTGTTCACACTACTGCCATTACAGTCTGTTTACAAATTGAATTAGCACTCGTGTAAACCCAAAATATTTCAAATAGACCCAAGAAATTTAACTGAAAAGCATTCGAGTTTATACGTTTGTGTTCACACAAAGCTATCAAGCTCTTTGCCGTTTTCACCTCGCTCCGTTTAGAAACCGTGCTCAAATTGTTACGGCAAAAGTGACGTGAAAGTTTTCAAACGATATCCTAAGACATTTTTCCTCCCTCCCTCTTTGGACAGCAAAAATTTCCTCCATGGGGGGGGGTATGGATCTTTTCTGGAACGACCCAATTCCAGCTTTAAATTTATGCATGCAGGAGGTGATGGGAAGTAAGATATCATGTTGCTGATTATGCTGAAAAATTTCAATAAAAACTGCCAAAACAACCGAAATATTTCAATTTACAATTACAAGCTATCACTCTGTGTTTACACGGCCATCATTTTTATTTTTTCTGCAATAATCGGCAATTACTTCCCATCCTCCTCTGCGTGCATAAATTAAAAGCTGGAATTGACTATTACTGCCGCCCTCAAATGAGCGCCGTAGTTATTCACAACAATGTGTCACATAATTGAAGCAGGACATTCCTCTTAAGGTGGTCATCTGTATAATTGTGCCAAACAGTCAAAATCATTAGTTGACTTGGTTACAGACAAAATTCAATGTGCCATTGTTTTGTCACATACAGTGCTTCCACCTTTGAAAATAAAAATTTCCTTCAAATTTCCCAAATTGTTAAGGAAATTTCTGAACGTGGTAATTACGAACATAGCAGATTATATGCCTGGAATGTCTTTCATATTTGTGATTTCTAAACTGGAAGTCCTGAAGAGATTACAACTACTGTAGCATGCATTTTGTACATACATAGATATACTGTACACGTAAGTTTGTTTTATTTATTTTAGGAGCTGAACTTCCCTATTTAGTACAATTATCATATATACCGTATGTAGGTTTATTTACAAGAATGGAATTTTCTCTAGGTTGAAGGCAAAGGGAATGGCATCAAGACAGTGATTGTGAACATGGTGGATATTGGCAAGTCTCTGAAGAGACCTGCTGCCTGTAAGTTGGTGGAATAACAAACATTGTAAATCTTTGGGACGCACCATTAGACTGTAGCTTTTTAGAACCCATCAGAAAGTCAACAGTAACCTGTTTGATTTATACAGTAGGCTTTTAATAGGCTGCGAAAAGGCTAGGCTTTTAATAGGGAATGGTGTACGGAGTGGTGTCCTTGACAGATTTGCAAGGGGGCTGTACCAGTCATAAAACAATGATTACCCCCCAATAAGCTAGTCCCCAATGAAAAATTCAGAACATCCCCCCCCAGAAAAAAGCCTCTGCTGAGTTAGTGAATAATCTCCCATAAGTCCCCCCCCCCCCCTTGCTACCCTGAAAAAGTTGGCACCCATTAGTGCATGCTAGAATTCATAATTTATGGCATATAGTAGTTGCTGAGGCGGTGAAAAGTTTTCAAATTCATAAGAAAGACCAAAGTCCATATGTTTTATTATAAACATATGTTTTTCAGATCCCACAAAGTTTTTTGGATGTGAGTTGGGTGCTCAAACCCAGATTGATCTTAAGAATGAGCGTTATATTGTGAATGGAGCTCATGATGGAGAGAAATTGCAGGAGATTTTGGATGACTTCATTCAGAAGTTTGTCCTATGTCCTGAGTGTGAAAATCCTGAAACAGTGTTGGTAAGCTTGCAAAACCTTAAACATAAGGGACGGACCATTAGAAAAGTGATGGGGGGTGGGACATCTCCAACCTGTACGTTTATTTTTTCAAAAATTTTTGCTTATGTTGATAATTTTTTTTTAATTAAATAATCCCTTGCTCGAATTTTTTTCCAGGACATTAAAAAAAAGGGTCAAAAAAAATTTTCCCGACTAACATCAGTTACACAGCCAGAAACGCACAAGTTGCAACAAGTCTGTTGACAACTTGGAACCAACTTGTTATCAAGAAGCCGATATCAGGATGCGTTTGCATGGCTTGCGACAGCTTGTTGACAACAAGTCTGTTGCAAGTTGTGAACAGACTTGTTGCAAGTTGTGAACTGCAGACTTGATGCAAGTTGTGAACTGCAGGCTTGATGCAAGTTGTGAACTGCAGGCTTGATGCAAGTTGTGAACTGCAGGCTTGATGCAAGTTGTGAACTGTAGGCTTGATGCAAGTTGTGAACTGCAGACTTGATGCAAGTTGTGAACTGCAGGCTTGATGCAAGTTGTCATCCACAGACTTGATGCAAGTTGTCAAAATGCTGAGTGAGGAAAGCGCCTTATGAAGCTTCGTGTATGCACTATTTTGAACAAAAAAACGGCCAAACAGGTTGCCATATTTCGGTTGTAGTGTTTCGTAAAATAACAAGACTTTTATATACTGACCAACGTGCGCGATCATTTTTGAGCAAAACAGCCGGAAAATACGACAAAGAATTAAAGGTTCTTATCGTAAATTATTCTCAAAATTAAAAGGTCTTTAAGTGCGACCGAAATAAGACAACCTACTTGCATATTTTTCTACAAAATAGTACATACACAAAGCTTCAAAAAGGCATCTTCCTCGTTCTTAAGCTCTAGATGTTGTATTCTCATTGCCATTTTCTTCAAGATCAAACCAGCTTTGAGCTTTCTTCGCTTCCTTGTGAACATGTTTGATTTTACTATTTTAGTTCGCACTTCGCAATTGTTGAAATTTTGTTTGAATCAAAAAGTAAACTGACAATTGACAAACTATAAAGACAAAAACAACTGAACATGATTACGTGATTGATGTTTGTAATATTTCGTCCAATTGCAACGAGCAATGATGACATGTGCCTACGCCTTTATCCAATCAGATTAAAGACATATAGCGATAGCACACGTCAGCAAGTTGTTCCTAAATTTTCATTTTTATAAAATTTTTAATTATTTCATTTGCGACTTGCGAGAATTTTTCTACAGCTGTCGATTTCAACTCATCTAATTTTATTCATCCGAAATAGCTGTATAGACTGCTGACTGCAAAATAATCCTTTTGATTTAAAATACAAACATATCCATTGTTAAATATTCATGTATAGAGCGATAATAATTGAGGAAACTGATTTTCACAGCCGAATTAGCTAAACAATAAACAAAGTCTGTATAGCTGTGAACAAGTCAAATGAATTTGTTATTAACTTGCAGCAAGTCTGCAAATGTCAAGTTGCAACAAGCCTGATTTTAACAGACTTGCTGCAAGTTGTTTTATCAGACTTCGGGACTTGTCAAGACTTAATAAGTTCTTTGTATGTTTGCATGGCGATAAAACATATAATAGTTTTGTTTGTAGAAACACCACGTAAATTTATTACTGCAAAGCTTTCGATCCGTAAGCCCGGATCTTCATTAGTGCGAAGACTGCCAAGCGCTTAAATTTTCGCGACAATTACAACTAATACGTTTGCTTAAACGCACGTATGTTTTTCGAATAGTCGGTTGTTCATAATAATTACAATAAAACGTTTGTAATGTCTCAAGTTTAAATCAGCTTGATCATGAGGCCGCAATTTGCATCAAGGTTGTTCCAACAACTTGACGCAGGCTTGAAAATGTCAGCTTGCAACAAATCTGTTAAGAACAACTTGCGACAAGCTTGTTGAATCAACAATGCTGTTGCAAGTTGTTCTAACAAACTTGCTAAATCTTGTCATCAACAGGCTTGTTACAAGTTGTTCCAACAACTTGATGCTGGCTTGATAATATCAACTTGCAACAAGTCTGTTTTAACAACTTGCAACAGCATTGTTGATTCAACAAGCTTGTCGCAAATTGTTCTAACAGGCTTGTCAAGACTTGTTATCCACAGGCTTGCTGCAAGTTGTTTCAACAAGTTGCAACCAACAAGTCTGCAAATGACAGGTTGCAACAAGCCTGATTTTAACAAGCTTGTTGCAAATTGATGAAATTAACAAGCTTGTTGCAACTTGTTGACAAGTTGCAACAAGCCGGTAAAGTTGACAACTTGCAACAAGTCTGTGGCGTTTCTGGCTGTGTACGTTGAGGTTCAAAAATTTTTTTCTCTGACAAATTTTTGTTAAAACATGCTTTAAAACCCTTTTTTTGCACCAATATCTGCAAGATTTAGGTTTAGAAAATTTTTTCTCACACCATTACTTGTATCAAAAAACGTTCCAAATTATTTTTTTTATTTTCCAAATTTGGGGGCCACCCTTACACTGGGGACCCGGCCCCTCTGCCCCTCCCTCTGATAGGCCCTGCCAACTTATAATTTTCCCTATTGAAAAGTCTCTGCACAAATTTTTTTTTCAAACTTTTTTGGTGCTCGAATATTTTTTTTTCTTTCTGTTTTCCCTACTCGATTTTTATTTTTGCTTCCCCCCATCACTTTTCTAATGGTCCGCCCCTAAGTGTTTTGGCCAGAACCATGTCCAGAACATTGTCTGTTGACCGGCCGTTATTTCGCGCCCTGAGGACAGTAACATAAAAAATCGATACATTTGATCCCTCTTTTGCTTGTGCTTGCATCATAGAGAGGACCAGGCTTAAATTAATGATTCATATGTTATTGATTTCTTAAAACTATGAGCATTGTATGTAAAACACTCTCAAATACCTGTAAAATACGAAGAACTTTGACATTTCAAGCGAAGGCCTTTGTTGGGAAGTTAGCAGCTTGGGTTGGGAAAAGCATGTGTGGTTTGACACTAGTAAATACAAAATCAATCGCATTGTTTTCTTTAGCATGTTGAGATTAAAAAGGAAAGAATTGGCCAAAAATGTATTGCCTGTGGATATTCTGGTGTGATATCGCTTACTCATCGCCTTATCACATTTATCCTCAAGAATCCTCCTGGACAAGAGGAAAGTGTTACGCCTTCAAAGAAGTGAGTAGCTTTTGCTTGGAGCTGTTGTGAGCTACACTCATGGTGGCTGATACCTGTATGCAGGGCCGGGGGGGGGGGCAAATTGCCCCGGGCCCCGAGGTGCTGGGGGCCCCTGAAAAATTTTTGTTGGGCCCCAGTCTTTTTTGTGTGTTAAATATTTCCGCACAAAGGACAAGATATCTGTTTTCTGGAGATAAGTACCGAAATTTGCCATTAAAAAATGAGATAAAGTCCCTGGAAAGCAATAGCAACGTACTCATCCGGAAAAATTTTTACTCCGGAAATTTTTTTTACCCCTAAAATGGTACACTGACCGAAAAATTTTTGGTGACGGGGGAGAGGTAGTTCTTCGCGGCACTGCCTGTATGAAATAGTTTCGTTGCATCAATTTTATCTTTGTTGTATACAGTTGTCTGATTATAATTTATTAACCTTAGTCACATACATTATAAGAATGCTTCTAGTTTGACTTGACTGTAACAAACGTAGCCTACGTCAGAGACTCGAGCTAGACTCCTCGTAGAATCCATGCAACTTCTGTAAAAAGCGTGCCACCGCACATGTCACGTCTGTTCCCCCTTTTGCAAAAAATTAAACTGCGATATTCGAAATTTTTGCTTGACTGCATGTGAGTCAGAAGAATGAGTTTCTTCGAAGAAAGTTGCTTTGTGCCGAAAGTTTGCCTAATGGAAAACATACTTAAAATAGGACTATTAATGATGGCTGTTACTAGATTTCTAGGAAGAGCAGGACTCTAGATTTAATGTGTTCTTTTGTTTAGGGACAAGAAGAATCGTCGTGATAAAAAAGGAAATAATGCACAGTCTGGTGCACAAAATGGCTGTACAAGTCCAAGTCATGATTCAAATGAAGCTGATGCCATACCAGTAATAGAGACACCAACCGCTCGAACTGTGAGTAACCGTTATTTCTGGCAATATCATGATTATTTCTGAAGTAGAAGTGGCACTACAAATTGATTAAGATTTCAGAAGTACCAAGTAGTTTTAGAACTGAATACTGGATTGGAAATCCTGTGCCCACAACCTAAAAATACAAACTTTTTTTGTGCTCATAGTGCCCATAGACACTGTCTGAGCATAGTTTTAAACTTAAGGAATCATTCTGTCAACCATGATGTTTCATAAAATTTTCAGAATGCAAAATTTCCTGAAGCTAGTTAAAATTCCCTTCATGCAGCGCTTCCATGCTGGACTATTTCTCCCAGGGCGCTTATATATGTATATACAAGGTCACCATGGCAACAACAACAGACTCGTCACCATACCTCTGTATCACACATCGATCAGCGCTCCAATATCCGTTGCACCGCCCTATATATAAGCGCCCTGATTTCTCCCATCCGTGTCTGCATGTCCCAACCCAAGGTATCTCGCTTGACGTACCATTGCTCTGACCATTTAACTATTCTGATGCCCGATAAGAAAATTATTGTCTTCATACCAAGGTACTGTTCTAAGTATCAGTGTGCATACTACTGTACTTGCTTTTTTAGGATGCTTTTGGTGATGATGATTGGAGTGAAGACACTAGTGAGGCTGCTGTCAAGGCGCGTGAATTGGAAGGTCTGTCAATGAGAACTAAAGGATTGACCATGACCGATGATCTCGAGTTAACTGAACAACAGAGACTTCAAATATTTTACAGTTTCGTTGAGGTGGGTATTTTTGATACCATCGAAGATGATCCGATTTATTCTAGAGAATGATGCCGATCTTCAGTACTATTCGGACGAATCGAAATTAGCCTTTCTCACGCCGCCATTTTTGGGGTACTGTAATTTTTCGTAAACGATTATAACAATGTGAAAAGCAATATTTCAGAACAAACTAACTATTTACAGAGTAAATTTACCATCATACACCCACAAAATTATAAAATGTCGCCGTTACGTGGTGTTACCAAGATATCTATGGGTGTTACGCTCGCAGGATTGGCAAAAAAGTACCCCAAAAATGGCGGCGTGAGAAAGGCTAATTAGCTAGAGCAGTACGATTTATACTGTACTGGCCAAGGGTTCTGGAAACGCATTGCGCTTGATATGAATCACTGTACTGTACACATACGTGGATCGTAGTGTCTTACCTATTCGTTTATCGTACTCATTGTCTTGTATTGATAATTTGTTGTGTAGGAGAAAAAGAAACTGAATGATCTTGTTTCCAAAGCTATCGTCGCTGAAGCAGAACGTCTTGAAGTCATGGATAAAGCTGTGCTTGTTCTTGCTGAGTTGTTGTTTACTGAAGATATGGCAAACCAAATGACAAAATACTCTGCTATTTTCAAGAAGGTATTCTTCATAACCGCCAGTTGACTGGCTATTTGCTGCTCGATAGTGTTTAATGAAACCCATTAATTTTATTGCTTAAATTTTGTTGCAGTTTTTGACCAATAACCAAAAGGCACAGAAACATTTACTTGGTGCATTTGAGATGTTGGTTGGTAAATCATTTCCAGAAAAACTGATGCCTAAAGTCCCGAGACTTCTGCAACTGCTTTATGATAAAGACTTTCTTGAAGAGGAAGTTGTGCTAGAATGGGCGTCCAAGGTAAGCTTTGCTATCAATTCTGACATGATCGCAAAATGAGCAGACTGCCATGTCAGCGTTTTGCTCGGAAAATAGCCGATATTGCACACAGCTCAGCTCATATATAAACATACAATTACGATTTTTTGTCTCCATTAGCAAGGACATGTGAATTGCCGGGTTCATACTGTAAGTACATACCTTATATCTGGAGCTTTGTTACCATGTTTTCAGGTTTCTAAGAAGTACGTGAGTAAAGAGACCAGCGCTCAGATACACGAGAAAGCAGCGCCATTCATCAAGTGGCTACAAGAAGCAGAAGAAGAATCGAGCGAAGACGACGATGAGGAAGATGAACCTATCGAAGTAGTCTATGCCACAGCCGCAGAGAAGGAAAAAATGGTGGCAGAGCAAAAACAGAAGGAGGATGGCGGCGATGATGATTTCGATATTGATGAAATATGAATATTAGCTGGAATTTTTTTGTAGAACTATTATGCATGCCATTACTGTATCGTTAGGACTCGGTATTATTTGTTGAACACTGCATTGTGTGTTCAATTCTGCATTATGTATTAAATATCACGTTTTTTATGTAGGACTACACATTCTTTGTGTAGGACACCTTATTTCATTGTCGTATTTATGAATATTCTAAGCTTATTTTAATTTGTTCCACGGTGAATTAGAATAAATGTGTTTTCGTTTTGTTTCTGGAACATATTGTTTACATCTACATTTCTACATTCAATTATAATGGTGGTGATTATAATGGATAATGATGGTAATAGTGATGATGATAGATAATTAATGGTGATCTCTGAATGGTGATGATCATTATTATTACTGAACACTTACATGAAGTTTCAGCAAAACATAAGCATTTGCAGGCGTGTTGGCAACCTCGTTCCCAGTATTGGTGGCTACTTCATGTAATTTTGTTTTGGAATTTTGGTCATTTGATTCTGGAACCTGGTGCATCAAAGGATTTAAAATTTGAAAGGTAAAAAATATGTAATGTTTCTTTACTTTTCAAGGTATTAATACATCGTAAACATGTGCAAAATCTGTTTTTTTGAGGGACAGACAAAGCCTTCGAAACGTGCAGTTGGCAGTATAACAGAGTACCACTGTACCAGAAAATTATGTCTTGATGGGAATGATAAAAAACTTGTACGAGAGCCGTATTAAAGTGATAGACTAGGTCAACAAACTATTCTATCTGTCTTTATTTGAAGGATATTTTGATTTGTCATTCACTTCTATCAATGGCTGCTACAAAGGGTCGAGCATTGATAATTTTAGCTGAGGGTGCTGAGGAAATGGAGGCTGTTATAACAGCTGATGTTCTACGACGTGGCAAGGTGGGTTTGGTGTATATGTGTAAAAGGCAGGCCTGGAGCTTATATTCCCCTAAGGGAAGAGATGAAATATATTTGGGTATGTGGGATATATTCCCAAATGGAACGGGGGTGTTATGTCACTTTAGCAGCAATGGACCAATAGTGGTACACCGACCTGGGCCTGACTGGAAAGTTTGGAAATTGTGTGCCGGAGATTTCGAAAATTTAATAGTAAATATATAGAAAGCATCAAAATTGCACACCAGATATCCGCTGCACGATACAAACTTTCCACACTTGGGACCTGGGCAATCTACATGACCTATAGCTACCTTGCTTGATATTGCTTGACCATAGCTACCTTGCTTGGTATTGGCCTGAATATCCACCATATGGTAACTGTGCTTATCCTGATTTGTTAGGTTGAGACGGTGATTGCCGGACTATCTGGTGCAGATCCTGTGCAATGCAGCAGACAAGTTGTTCTTAAACCAGATATAAGTCTAGATGAAGCTTGTAAGAAGGTATCTTAGCTTATTTGATAATGCTAACAGCAACTGGAAAAGAAGAGCTCTAATTTAAAAAAGATCAATAATTTAAGTTAGTGCATGTTGATTCCCATACATGAACAAAATGATAAAACAAAAATATTGGCTGAGTTTTATTTATTTATTTATTTAATTATTAACTTTACAATCATACAAAAAATTATAACAATGATTGAAGGTATGGTCAACAGGACATAAGTCCCATTTTCAAGACCATATCTTGATTGACTACATATGATCTGGTGCAGGATAGGACTTGGTAAAACCCCATGTGTATTTTGCATGAGCAATTGCTGTGGATGGTAGCCGAGGATTGCAAGGAATAATTAGTTGGCAAAAGTGTAAATAAAACTGAGAGCTTGCTATCCACCAACCATATTGCCCCACTTTGTTCACATGCATGATAATCCTGGATACCTGGGGAAGTATATTGATCCAAAATTAATTCAGTCCTAGGGCTGGATAAAATTAATTCACCCCACTTTAATTAATTATTTATTCGTATGAGATGTCATTTCAAATCCTCCATTTCGGACTGGACTAGACAGGGTGTTAGCCAGAAGTAAAAAAAATCTGTGTTTACCTGAAATTGGGAAATTTATTTTAGCCTGAAGCCGGGCATTTCTTTGTGGGTCTGGGGGCATGCGGTTACCCCCTCTCGATTTTTAAAATTTTTGTGTCTTTGAAATGGCATTTCCCGCATTTTGGGAGTAATTTTGAGCAAATGTAGTTATAAACATGTTTTTAACCATTTTTTGGCTGACCCAAATTGGGAAATTGTGACCTCCAGGTATTAATGGGAAAACCGTGTTTAACGTGGAATTTTTGACTGTAGTTAACACCCTGCTAGATTTCAATTCCTTGCATTTTGATCCAGTCCTCGGCTTCACCTCAGACTTGATCAAATTGCGCTGACTTGAAATCTAGTCCAGTCCTCATAGTCGGTTTTGAAATATTATACCACACCCCCGCATTCTCCCCTTGTTACTACCAGCTATATTTGCATTACTCTGCATTTTGGTTATTATGCCTAATCATCCTGGGGGGGGGGGTATAAAAATTGCATCAGATTACTAGTCTGAACGGACTTGGACCCGACCCGAACTTCAAATCTAACCCCGATCTGAAGCAGATTAGCATCTAATTTGACTTTTATACCTGTATCGGGTTTAGGGTCGGGTCTGGTCCGACTAGTGTTCCGGTCAGACTTTTATATTTTGCTCATTGACACCTTCACTATACCACAGACTGCAAATTAAACATCCAATAGAAAACAATCAGGTACTTCATGTAAACTTTCATTTGTTCACTAGGAACCATTTGATGCAGTGATCTTACCAGGTGGTGGTGGTGGAGCCAAACGATTAGCTCAGGTATGTCAATCGCATCATTCCATGCACCCTCTACTAACCCTCTACTATTAAGTAACCAAACACTATCAACATTAACCCACTTCTCTCTTGTAAATATATCATTTGTCTGCAGATATTCTTCTATAAGCATTGCTGCATATTCCAATAAATTACTTTTTTATAGTCTGCTGAAGTGAAGAAGATTTTGAAAGAACAAGAAAAACGAGATGGCATTATTGCAGCAATTTGTGCGGGTGGGTGGGTATGAAATTATCTAAGATTTGTAATATAATTCTCACTGATGCAATTTAGTATTAATTACCTCTCTTTCATATGTAGACTACTGTATATATGTATGAACCAAACTTCATTGTTGAAATCTACCAGAACATCATTGAAAGATCTGTCAGAATTTACATCAAGCAGCAAGCTATATATGTAATCAACCTCATACCCAAGCTCTTTCCTCTTGGAGAGAAAAGACCCAGGGTCTTTTCTTCCCACGCCAAGAGGAAAGACCCTGGGTATGAGATTGGCTATATTGTATATTCTTGAGATGAAAGACACATTATTTCAAAACCTACCGTTTTAACTTAATAGCTGTGTATTAATTTACAACTGCCTGAAAAAATATAGGAGTCGACTTCAAGTTCTGCAAAATATATTTTTCAGGTAGTTGCGTCTTTTTCAATCCGCAGCTGTGTTATCGCTCCTGCCGCCATACACTGGCGCCAAGCCGCCAACCATTTGAGATTGTTTTAACTGTATAATGATTCATAGTGCATGTCTTTAATCCCAGCTTCTCTATAAATATGTAATACAGGTCCTACAGCACTTGTGGCTCATGGAATAGGAGTGGGCAAAAGTGTGACATCTTACCCATCAGTTAAAGACAAATTCAAAGGTATCCTGACAAATTTATATTGATGTCAATTTTTATTTCACTATTGAAAACTAATTTGATACCGGTACCTATAAAACTGTATAATTACAAAACTAATGTAGGTGCCAAAATGCAAAATTGTGCATGTGAACCCACTATGGGTATATCCAATTGAAACTGTTAACCTGGGGGTATATCTACAAATCTAGAGCACTGTTTGTTTAAACCCATTGAGTGGCAGCACTCTCCCCTTGACAGGTAAAATCATCTGGCATTAGACAGAGTAAAATAATCTGGCAGGCACATCAGAGCCCACATTGCAACGATAAGGACGAAAAGCTAAAGAAGAACGAAATCCATTACCATACATCTATGGAAAGAGCATCTTAAAATGAGTAAAATTGCAAAGTTTGGTTGCGAATTGTTGTAAAATGCGGAAAATATAGCCCTGTGTGAAGTTCGCAAATTTTTGTATATATTTGCATTACGCGCGGGAAAAGTAACCATTATTGAGCCGAAAGTGGTTATTTTTACCGCGCGTAATACAAATATATACAAAATTTGCGAACTTCACAGGGCTATATTTTCTTCGTGTTACAACATTTAGCAACCAATTTCTTTGCAGTTTTACTCATTCTAAGACGCTCTTTCGAGCTGTGGGTGTTGGATTTCGTTCTTCTTAGTTCTTGCCTTAAGCCTGGTTCACACGATGAAATAAGCACAAGCAGCGGAACCTTTGATATAAGCATAAACATAAGAACAAATGTTGCGTTCTTCTTATGCTTACGTTTATGCACATCAAAGGTTCCGCTGCTTGTGCCTGTGCTTATTTCATCGTGTGAACCAGCTGGAATCACCCATTGGAAAACTAAATTTTCACTCTGTTGCCTTTTGCCGACATTGCCAGACTACAAGTACTTGGAAGAGCGAGTGGTACAAGATGGTAAGCTCATCACAAGTCGTGGTCCTGGGACAGCATTCCAGTTTGCTATAGAGATTGTACGTGCTGTGCGAGGTAATGATGGTGTGGCTGATGGGCTGGCTGCTCCCATGTTGTTGGAGTGAATGTTTGGACATCTGCAGACGAAGCGTGCGGCGATGCAGGTAAAATATTGTAGTGTCATTGCAAGGTATAGTAGTGCTGGTTTTGCAAACCTCAGAGGTGTGTCACAACAATTGTAAAATATACTTTATGAAAGTATATAAAATATATATAGTTACTAATTGTTAAAGTATGTATAAAACCTAATCTAAAACTATTCAAAATGGGGAATTTTTAGTGTGCAATTCTGCAAGTATATTATCATGCACTTTTGGTACTAGTATAACAAAATATCAAAAATAATTTATTCCAGTTAATTTTTTGTCCAATTAAAGCTCCGCCTCTATTTGTCCAATTTCATGAAATTTCTGGTAAAGAAAAAAAATATGATAAATTAAAGCTTTCGTTATTCTGACCTGCAAGGCGCTTTGTACGGTTAGAAATGTTAATTTAGGGACTGTTCATATGATCCCACTTACCGAGACGTCTTGCTTACCGAGACGAAATATTTCCATGCGTTCATATGGAGTATTTCGTCCCGCTTGCCGAGATGAAATTACAATGTAGTTCCATAATTAGCGTATGCAAAACTTCTACATTTCAGTCAAGCAACACAAATAGGGGTGCACCGGATTTGGAATTTTCAAATCCGGCCGGAACCGGATTTGGACAAAAATTCCGGCCGGAATTCCGGGCGGATTTGAGATAAACCGGTAATGGGGACAATTGGGGATAAATTAGTATTCAAAATGGCGGTTTATGTTTTTTACTATTTTTAGTTAGTGTCAGTTTAGATTTTTGATTGTGTTTAAACCTTTTTTAAATATCTTTTTATTAATAACTTAATATTTTATAATAATATAAACTGTTCTTTAAGCTTTAAAGCTGCCAAATTGATGGTTTATCCCATTCTGATTCTGGGTGAATTTTTTAAGGTGAAAACAGAAATTTAAATCCGGCCGGATTTTCTCCAAATCCGGCCGGATGCCGGAAAATTCGTTAAATCCGGCCGGATTTGAAATCCGGTGCACCCCTAAACACAAATACTTAGCGATTTTAGTCTTTTTCTTCGTTTATTTTAATACTTGTTTATAAAACAAACATAAAACGAAGTAAAAAGTGTTAAATTAAACGGTAAGACTTGTTTGACTTCATCCAGGTAAGCGGGCTGGCGTATTCATATGGAAAAATTTTCATCCCGCCTACCTATGATCTCGGCAAATTCAAACGAGATCTCGGCAAGCGGGCCAGCTCGCTTTCTCATATGAACACAATGCAATATTTTGTAGGAAAATAACTAGGCGGCGAGATCATCTGTAAGCGAGACGTCTCGGTAAGCGGGATCATATGAACAGGCCCTTATTACAGTAACTAATAATTTAATATAAAGGTTTGAGAAGATTTTACCTTAATATTTCTGGCAGGTCCTCCGAGGCAGAAATCGTAGTATGACTGAAGCCAGTGAATTCTTTAAATTCAATTGACTGATTTTCTTTTTTATGCTTCAATGCTGCTTCGTGTAGCTACAAAATTAAAGAAACGGTTGTGAGTTGAACTTTTTCATTTTATTTTTTTTAAATTTTTTTTCTTTGTTCGCATCATGGTATGTAATGGTATGAATGTTGGCTTAGTTTTGGTACGTTCCTCGTCTCCAGAAATTTATTGACATCAACCATAATAAGTATTGAACATCGTTTATTAGGCTTTGAGTATAGCTATTAAAATGTAGGAAACTCCTTAATAATCATCATAAAAAATCATCTTAATCATCGAGAACGCTCGTTTGCGCCTGTACGGGGCTAAGGAGTACTATCTACAAGATTCATTGTAAGAAAGATGAGAATTAAATCACCTTCTTTCCTGACATAAATTTAACTATCTTGTCTCCATGATCATGTAAGATTAATATATTATACTTTATGCTGGAAATTCTGAAAAAGAAAGTTTGAAAATGCTAAGTGGTGCTATGCATGTACACACAAAACAATGCCAACATGTAGAAATTTAACAGCGGAAAGTGTTTACTACTCACATTTCGTCACTTTTATACATTTCATTTACTTCTTGTAACGTATCTTGGAAGAAAGGCCACATCCTATATGGCTGAATGCAGAAAACGTTTACCTTAAATCCAAGTAATTGCTACAAGGGCAGAGCAGACAAGCTCAAAATGCAGCCATCTAGTCTATGGGTAAATATAAGGATTTTGATCATCTCACTCGATATAACTAAATGTTGAAGGGATTGAAGGTGGAAATTTTGGAGTGGAATTTTTGTTTATTTATTATTAGCATGACAAAATTACTGGATGCTGATTGGTTGAGAGGAGTACAATTATTTCATTAATTGTACTGCAGTACAATTAATGATTTTCCCAAAACAAACAATATGGCGGAAAGGTATTAAACACAAGCGTGAAATGAAATTGCCGTGAAGGAACCAGATAAAAATACGAACAAAAGCACCAAATTTTGCTTGAACAAAAGAACTAAATGAAAATACAAACAAAAGCACCAAATTTTGGTTGAAAGTCTGGCAGAACTGGGCTTTGGCGAGAGAATATGATGTTGACATTGAGAAATACGTATCCAGTTTTGTCATGCTAATAATAAACAAGTAATCGTGCGATGTTGCTCGTACAATTAGGGATTAATAGTACTCGTGATGTTTGGAAATTTGCCAATTTGGATTCGCCTCGGCGGCTCGTCCAATTTAAATATCTAATTGCACTCGCCATCGCATGATTACCTATACTTATTATGGGCTATCTACGTTCTTTGAACAAGCAAGTGGAACTTTTTAAAATGAATAAAGTAACATACAATAACGTTAAGAATTCGAACGCTTTCATTGGTCGAGAGCCATGATCTACTAGGGAACAGACGCACGGAATTACGTCACAGGTGACGTAACTTAAGGTAGCCAATAGCATTCCCTTATTTGTATAGATCATGTATACGTGATATTTTTAAAATTTCGACTTCAAATTTCCAAATGTTTGGGTGGATAAAAAGTGGATAAAACTATTTACCTGTTTAATTCGGGGATTTTCTTTTTATTATATAAAACAAATAGATAAGATTTTGCTGGTGTCTGTTCAGTTCTAGATTCACAGTATGACGTCATCATGTGGAAAGAACAAAAAAGTGATCCACTCGCCTCGAGAGCCACTTTTTTGTTCTTCGTCACTTTTTCACGTCATACTGTGTTCTATAACCACAGTTATTTTAATAGATGGTTTGGAGACTCGATGAAAGTACAATATAACTCATTAACTATGTTGATTTCGGTTTATGCAAGAATTTGGGTCTATCTCGTCACGTATGTATTGTATTTGTTCCCGCACAACCAATAGCAATGTTTAAATTGAGCATTTGTTCAAGTTACGGATGGATAACTCAACCACAAATTTATTATTGGTTATTTGAGCAAAAATACAATACACACGTGACGAGATAGGACCAAATTCTTGCATAAAGCTGGACAATAACATAGTTAATGAGTTATATTGTACTTTCATCGAGTCTCCAAACCATGTATTCTATCAACTGTGCTATAACTGTACAGACAACGGCATAATCTTATCTATTTGTTAAATATACCATTTCTGAATTACGCTCTAGTTATCAAGAACAATAACACCAAGTCGAGGCTTAGTGTTAATTTGGTCTCGTCAGGATATTGTCTGTAGGTATTCGACAATAATTCGGAAATGGCATAGTGGTTATATTTGCTACTCACTGTGGCTAATGGATGATTAAATGCAGCATCTCTCATATTATTCAACGGTGCCTCGAGTATAACTCCCATCACGGAGACGTCTTGAAATAACAGAAATATTTAATAACAGAAATATTCAATGACAATGTTAATTATATACAGTATAAATTATTTATACCGTATATAATTAACATTATCAATAATAAATGCCCATAGTATAGGCTATATAAATAATACTCAGTATAATAATTTAAATGAAAGCAAATTTAAAAACATATCTACCTGTTTCTGTCAAGATTTTGGAAATTGCAACAGCAACACTATAGAATATGTATAAACGATTGAATAATCTATTTTTTCACGTAATGATGCATAAATTATAGGAATGTTATACGTACGCTGATCCCAAGGAATGTCCCCATAGGTAAACTGGACCGTTATTAGTGTTGGCTAAAATCCATTGGAAAACTGTTAAACTGTCGTCGATCAAACCTTGAAAGTAAACATGAGAACATTCTGAAGTGCTTACTGCTGAATTAAGCATGGTTCGACAATGCAGTGATAGTACACCTCTGCATCGTTCGACAATGCAGTGTTAGTACACCTCTGTTGATAATTATGTACAGAAACTCAATAGTAGTACACCTCTGCATGGTTCGACAATGCAGTGATAGTACACCTCTGCTGATAATTATGTACAGAAACTCCATGGGCATATGCATGGCTCCCTATACTGCGAATGACCGCTTCATTCGCGGTATACTTTGTCTTACTTCCATATCCTGACGTAGAAATTAGAGACAACAAATGCCCAAATACGTGATCATCCATTAGATAAGCAACAACAAATACTACCCTACCTTGTTCTGTGGGAATTCCGTCTGAATCACCGAACCCTGAACAAAATATAACAATCTCGAGTGAATATAGTCTCACATGGATTGAAAAACATGATCATTGATGCTTATATTTTACACCAGGACAATTATGTTACAATATAATAATATACATGAAAAACTTTCTCAATTCTTTTTGCGTAAGTCTAACAGCAGTGCAAATTTTTCGAAATACAGAGCCAAAAATGAAATACAGTGCCAGAAAAAGAAATACAGTGTAAATTTCATTGACTATTTAGGCTTTCTAATTGGCTTAAAATATGAAACAATAACAAAGATAGCCAATAAGATACAGCAATTTCCAGCAGAAATAATAAAAAAACCCAAATTATTTCCATGTGACTTAGCACGTGACTGCATAATTTTCTCATGTATATTATTAATAAGTAATAGTATGATTTCTCGTGCAATTTGAAAAAAACATACACTCGTGAGTTTTTCAAAGAGTTTTTCAAATTGCACTCATCTTTTGGACTCGTGCAATTTTGATAGGTTACAAATCTGTTCACAAGCTGTCGACAAGTTGTGTTCGCACTGCTTGTTCCCAGTTGCTGTAACAAGATTGCAACAAGCTGTAAACAACTTGTAACAAGCTTGATGGCATTAGCAGACTTGTTACAAGGTTGTTCTAACAAGTCTGATACAGTCATGATATAACAAGAATGTTACAAGGTTGACGACACAAGGTTGGAACAATTGTTATATCATGAATGTATCGGACTTGTTGGAACAACCTTGCAACAAGTCTGATAATATCAACAAGCTTGTTACAAGTTGTTAACTGCTTGTTCCAATCTTGTTGACAACTTGGGACAAGCAGTGCGAAGACAACTTCTTGACGCCTTGTTGGCAGACTTGCTATAAGATGTGAGATTTTCACGCGTGTACAGTACCTATACAAACAGAATACATAGTATAGTGTTGGGAAAGCATTAAGAAAAGCTAACATAGACTGCCACATAGATATCTTATATACACTATAGATTGTGCATCTCTTTTAGTAAAATTGAAGCCAAGAATATTCCAGCGGTTACCCCCATTTGAATAGACGGCGGCCATGTTAGCGGTTACCCCCATTTGAATAGATGGCGGCCATGTTGGTAGTTCCCACTCGCTAATAAACGCTTAAAAACAACAACTTTCATCATTCGAATAGTTTAAAAATGTATTTGGAATAGGTTTACTTTGATATTTAAGTTCCCTGTTTAAGAAATAGAAAACATACGAGTCTTCTCATTTCATGGGAATATCCTGAGTCTGCAATCACGGCTTCAATTTTTGAATTGCAGAATAATTAGATGCACTATCTAGTGTATATAAGATATCTATGGACTAGCTGCCAACACTTATGCACTCTCATGATCCGTGACACTAGCTAATCGTCGTTTGATCCGCGCTTAGCGAAAAAATGAAAAATATATTCAAACCTCTGTAATCATGCGCAATCACGTGACATCCCAGCGCTGATAACACCTTGGCAAAGAAATATATAATATAGTATTATCTACTGCACACGTAAAAATCTCACAACTTATCAACGAGATGTGTTTGCAATAGTCTTGCTGCAAGCTTGTCAACAAGTTGTAACAATGCTGTTATTTTATCAAGTCGCTACAAGGTTGTCGCTCACAACTTGTTGACAAACTGTTGAATTGTAGGACGATAACAAGTTGTTGGAACAACTTGTAACAGTCTATTGAGCCCAACAACCTTGTAGCAAGTTGTCAACAAGCTGGGAACAAGCAGTGCGAACACATCCTGTTGACAAGTTCTGTCAAGTTGTTGGAACAGCATTGCTACAAGTCTGCTGCAGGTTTGTTACAACTTGTGCATTTTTACGTTGTGTAACACGCGATTTTTTAAAATTTCTCATGTTTTGTTCAGTTAAAGAACAATGAACCCGTACAATGAATTACCTTGTACGTTGAAGTCCTATGCTGGGTAGCTCTACAGAAAAGTAAATTGATAAAATCACAAGCTTTCTGCGGCGATTATATGGGAAGATTTACGTTGAAGGTAGCTGGCGTAGGCTAGGGTTGAGGGATGTTACCCTCTTTGGCTGCCGTGGTTGGTGTCTGAATTATACCTAAAAAAATTGGCAAGCGAAGGGAAAATGCACCATGCAGTAGTTGTATAATTAGTACAGGTTTTCCTTGGCAAATTTTCCTTAGCAGCCGTAAGATTTCCTCGACAAGTTTTATTAAAAAATTGACAATTTTTCTTTGCCAACGACCTTCGTTCCAAAGCTAGCATGCCAGCTTTCGAGTTTTGGACAAGAAAAATTTGTTCGCGTGTACGGTCGCCAAGGAAAACTCTACAAGTGAACAAGAAATACTTCTATGATTATGACTATAAAAAAGGGAAAACTTCGCTCGTCTGTATGGGGCTTAAATTGTTCACGCACCTGGAGTAGGCGTTGCCATGCATGTATAAAATGACAGGTTTCCCATCGTTTATTGCTGCTAAGCCATTAGCTGGGACGTACCTGATAGAATAAAGCAGATTTCTATAAACTAAACAAGTCTTAAAACTATAGATTAGAGACCCACACATATCAATGCCAATGGACCCGTGTAATATAATGAATATCTGTAGCAACTGGCCACGCAATTATCTTCTCGATTTCTCTTTACACCTAATATTAGTCAAATTAATTTCAGATTTAATCATCGGATGGGTTTGGTTCCATATTCGTATCAGACGGATTTCCGTCAGTGTGACGATTTTCTCTTCTTCACTTAGATCGCAGTGTTTGCTTCATTGGTACTTTAACAACAGACGTGAACAGCACAGTGTGTTGTAGGGGTTTCAAATTGTTAGAGACACAAATAATAAGCCGATCATACGGAGCTGCAACTTGCAACGCAATTTCGGATAACCATGTTATCGAAGAAGTAGTAGTATTCACTGAGAAATCAGGGTCTTCCAGGGAGGGGGGGGGGGGGGGGGGGGGGGGAGTGGTTCTGTGGAAATCTTTCCTTTGTTCCCATAAAGATTTTGCCATATTCCCTTGTTCCCCATGTTACAATGTTCTCCAAACTTATAGTTATATGTTCCCAATTGTTCCCTATTTTCATTTCGACTTTGTTCCTGTGTTTCCATTGTGGGAGACTCTATACTGCCGAGTGACACTTTCTTTTAATAGTTGGTAGAATAAACCGTGGGCCATACTTAGAATTTTCCCTTGACTACTTTTTATATAACATACAGTAGCTCTTATGTCCGACATTGCATGTTGCAGCATAAATTGCTTGGAACTGTAGTTATCATGATTATTCCGTTCATTTTTGAACAAGCACAAATTGCTTACCACACACCCAGCTTCCCAGCTTTGCCATTAATATAAAAGTTTGTAGTATTTGGCAATCCAAAGGCTTCTGGATCATCATAGTTCAAAAATGGATTTTTCACTAGGGAAATACGATGTGTGAATAAAGAGGTGTTTATTAGATAAGAGAGGTAATTAGAGAGGTAAATATTTATGCTTCAACACTGAGAATTTACCAAGTGTTTACACTGGTAAATGTTTAATTAAATCAGAATTGTTAACAAGTGGTTTTGCAAGTCCAAGTCACATTACAAGTCATTTGTAACAAGTTAAGTCACAAGTCTTGCAAGTCATTTTGTTTGTAAGCAAGGGACCAATAATTACACAAAATATGTGATTCTTTTTTTGACGATTTTTGACTCCCCTACCCCTTGTGATAATCTAGCTGTAATGGTTGGCATTACTCCCTATCTATATAATTATGTGACTCTGAGCTACTCCCCCCCCTTACATATAAAAGGGCATGTATGTGCAGGATGGTTTATTGAAGTGGGATCTAATAATGTCTGAGATCTCTCCACTTCACGTATGTACAGTATGAGTTACTTCATGCCAGTTCCAATATATTGTTTTTCTGTCATGTGACACCCTGTGCTTTGTGATACTCCCTTGTGCATACATTATGTGACTCACTATTGTTCAAGCACCCTACCACCCTAAGCATCACATATTTTGTGTAAGGCCCCAAGTCAAGTTGCAAGTCATTGGGTCAACTTCATATAACATATATATTGTTTTTAATAATTTCAGTTATCAGTGGCAATTGCTCAATCAATTGCTGTTTGCCACCAAAGATTGCCGGGACTAGCTGTCACCTGCAGATCTCCTGCAGTGGCTATGAGATATAACTTTACAATAAATATTTTTTATTACAATGCTACTCACAATAGTTTAAAAACACTAGCTGTTGTCTAAATGTTGAGCTGAGGTATAGCAACAGCAACAGCAAACAATATATAGTGCAGAAACACACAACTAGTTGTTTAATTATCAATATTCCAACATGTCCAGAAGTGTTCCTGAAAATAGATGAATGTTAATTAGATGATATACTGGCATTAAATAAGCTCAATTGATTAGCATTTTGATAATTTTGGAAAAGCTGCCAATGGCCAATATCCCTTATTTGGTAAATTTGACAAGTTACTGTTACCTAATCAGGCTTTTAGCCAGAAGGGCGTCCGGGCATCCTGGGACGCCCCTAGAACAAGAACCCAAATTCTGGGGGGAAAGGGAAATTATTTTCAATTATTACGCTATAAAGTATATTAATATATCTCACAAAATAGCTTCAATTCTCCTTATTATTATTATACATTTGACATTTTGATCAATTTGATGGTGTACCTGGCTGAATGAAAATGTCGTAGTTAAGTAAAGAAGCATAGTGGCACAAACTCACATAGCCAAGTGTGTTTGAAAAATTTCGAACGAGATTGGAACAGATACTGACATAAACTTCAAACGTTTTCCAGAGGAACGTTTTCCTGAACCCCCCCCCCCCCCCCGCCCCTTTACTGTAGATGTATCGTTGTACTAAATTTGGATGCCCTCTTTTAGGAACCTGGCTAAAAGCCTGCCCCTAATACCACCTGCTACGCAAGCTAAAAACATCATGGCAAACTTTTGAAACTAAGACATTGACCCAATGGGCCAGAAAAGATCCACGCTCCCCCCATGCAGAGCAAATTCAGTGAAATTCTGCTATCTTTAGAGGGAAGAGAGTGTGTGTAAATTTATACTAGCTCTAGATGTTTCATTGATCAGTTAACCCATTTAGTGGCAGCACTCTCCCCTTGATGAGTAAAATTGTCTGGCGTTTGGCAGAATAAAATAATAAAGTATCTAGGGCACATCTAGGCATATATTGGAATATTGCCACTTAAAGGATTAAGACACATCATCCATCTGATGGACTGTCCATCTCAGTATACACAGCTGGTTGACCTAATAGATAATTTGTCTGTTGTTTTCCTTTTATATATACACAAATTATTAGACAAACTATCTACTCTTTGCAAGCCTGAATAAACAACACACATATCTCCTCCCCCCTTAACACTTTATTGTGGCCCTGCTCAATTTAATTATATAAACCACATATAAACAAATAACATTCCGTTCAGGAGGATAACTTATTGAACCTATTCATAAATATTAAAGTATATAACGAAACTATTTGCAAATGGGAAAATAATTAGACTCGTATATACCGGCTGGTATTATACGATCACTTAGCACTTAGTGCACGATGCATGGAATATAAACATCAAGAAAAGCACGATCTTATTCTTAAATCAAAATAATTAGCACATGACTGTTATACTATACTGCAAATCTAGCATAAATGAAAAGATTTTGAACTATTTCTAGAAAATATAAATTGTATTCTGTAGTGTTTGCATTGAACTGCAACGTGGACGACAGGTAATTTACATTCATTTCAAAATCAGGTCTAGAACATTTTCAAAATGTATCAGAATGTATATATTTAACTATTAATTACCTTTCTTTAGTGGCTGTTGTTGTCGAACTAGGTATATTGTTGTTATCTAAAAGATCTTCCACAGATTCTTTTCTTCGCTGTCTGGACATTTTTACTACTTTAGCATAAATTCAACACTGTACTAAATAAATAATGTATTTTTCCGACAACAAAGTCGAATCCGTGTCAATCCAAAATATTGATGGTTTGCAAAGGGTCAAAGGTCATCTTACTATTTAGGGCAGATATACGTTTCGTATGACGTCTGGGAGGGAGGGCCCGGGGGGGAGTTTGTAGGTATGACGCTTTTCCCCCTGAAATACTGAATTAAAAAATAGTCAATCCCTCAATAAACAAATTCTTCAATAAATTTTACCACAACATTTTTTTTGCACATATAAAGCCAACTTTCTAATAGCCATCTCCCAGTTCTTATGAGAAACATGTATGCCAGAATTTGAAGTTACTAATCTAGATTAATCTCGAAAATTATCCGCTATTACGTAAAGACTAAAGACCTAGCTGACGTCTTTGGTAGGGAGGGGGATTTGTAAAAGTCGTCATAGTGACGTGAAGACGTCTTTGGCAAAAACGTATATTTGACTCTTACCATGCATCAGGCAGTGCCCCCCACTCGGAAATAAAATTGAAATTATGCCCCCTCCCTTATTCCACATTATTTTCCATTTAAAAAAAATAGACAACGCGGCTGTCATATTCAAGCCAACAAAGTCAACAAAGGCATAGCCTAATTTCTTACTATATGCTGAGGTTAACTTTATATTTTTGTATTAATTTAGACAAAAATATCCACAAATAGTGCGTGATTTGTAATTTTGTTTTGTATTTTTCTTTACCATGGATTATATCAATGGTTGAGGAACCAATCAAAATTATGAATTTGTAATATTCCATGATTGAATGTATACTAAACAAAGATAGCAGGGCTGGGTCAATAAAATCATATGCATTACAATACCATACACCTTTTGTATGAAAATTTGTCAATTTTTGTATGAAAATAGATAGCTTGTGGCCTAAAATAAATAACCACGGCTGAACTAACCCTATACAGAACTTTAAAGACAAAAGACAAAATTGAGCACAAGTATAATATTTTTACAGTGTAGAAGAACGTTCCGTTCGATCCCAATTTTTCTGAGCTGGAAAGGAAAACTAGCTGCTAGCACGAAAGTCAAAATCATCCCAACCCCTCTGTTACATTATTTCTGCAGTGCCCCCCTCAGAAATTGAGAGCCAGCTACGGGCTTGGTCTGTGAACACGAATATATGAATATGGACCCCCCTAATTATCCGAGCTGGCTACGCCGCTGAACGCGACGCGAATTTTCAGTTTTCAAAAACACGGGGCCTTAATTGCCACTAATAAGATGAAAGTATCACGAAATGGGGGGGGGG